GAGGTTCCATACACATGCTCAGTTTATGCTACATAGATTAGTTTCTGTTGCTATATCATTTTGACAACCCTCCTCCATAGCTAATGGATCTGGCCTTCTCAGCTCCTGGGCATGCTCATTATACCCTGAGCTGTAGCCACTGTTTCTTCATAGAGGGCAGCCAAAGGGGGGCGTTTAAGAAACAGGAAGCCAGATGTTCTTTCAGGGAGTGGAGGCCAGTGCTAAGTAACAGAGTCCTAGGTGCTGGGGCTTACACTCAACTGCTGTTGCCAGGAAGGCGGTAGCCCAACAGATCTGAACATGCAACAATCCAAGTATGTGAAGCAGACTTCTTCATCACCTTCTAGGCCTGTGGTCCTTCAACATCAGTGCACATTTCCACTGAGCAGCTGGCAGGGGCCTGGGAGCAGAAATCTCAGGGATCCAGAGTGAGACAAAGAGGTTCAGAATCAGGAAGCAATGCTCATGATTCAAAGTGTGAGAGCAAACACTTGCTGGCCCATTATTTTTCAACAGGTTGGAGGACAGAGAAGCCATGTCTGTTGACTACAGATAAACATCACTTTCAGGAAGATACGGGCTTTAGAGTATGTGTGAGTGCTTAAACTTACACTTGTTACAGTCTTAGGAAGGTCTGCTGATTATTTTGAAATTTGTTACGCTGACTATTTACTTAATTATTTTTGTAATACCACACCAGAAAGGAAGGGACTAGAAAATCAAGAAGCTAGGGAAGGAACTGCTGCCTAGGTCACGGTCAGATGCCCTGTTGTGCTTCTGGCCTCTGTGGTGGCTGATGGCTCCCAGTCTGCTCCCTTCTAGTTCCCTCTTCAGAGTCATCCTCTCCTGGAATCTTCCAGGTGTGCTTCTTAATCCTCCAAGTATGCTCGAAATTAAGTGATTAATGCAATTCTCATGGCATGATCATTAGTTCTTGTGAGAGGAATTATTACAAAAAGAGCAAACTTGGCCTCTGAATCTCTTTGGCTCATGAGAGGCCAATCAGATCTGCTGAATCTTGGACTTTTAGCCTCCAAAACTATAAGCAAAATAAACCTCTCTTCTTTATAAAGCATCCAGTCTCAGGTATTTTGTTACAGCAATGAAAGCTGCCTACAACAGTTCCCTGAAGACCAAGGGACTGGCTGATTTTCAATTTCATAGCTTTAAACAGCAGCTATACCTACCCTGTCCAACACAGTAGCCATTGTGACATGATACTATGTAAACTGAAATTAATTAGCCACACAAGCCACATTTCATGTGTTCAACATCTCATGTCATTGGTGGCTGTCTTACTGGACAGTACAATACAGAGCATTTCTTCACCTCAAGGGTCTCACCACACAGCACATCTTCACTGATTAGTCCCACATCTGTACTCTAGCTCCAGTTTCCCATCCAAATTCTCTGATGTGCTATCCAATTGCCAGCCTAACATCACCACTTGAATATTTCAGACACCTCAGACTTAACAGCATACAAAGTACAGAGATCCACCTACCTCTGTCTCCAAGTGTTGAGATTAAAGGCATACATCACCATACTCAGCTAAAATTTTATTTTTCAAGGTTAGAAATTGAACCTAGGTCCTGGTGCACGCTGGGTAAGTGCTCCACCACTTAGCTACATCTCCAGTGTTGTAAAATATTCTGTGATAGTTAATTTTTTGTGCCACCTTGGCTATGTATGGTATCCAGATATTTAAGTCAAACATTATTTTGGGTATTTCTAGGAAGGTACTTATTTCTTTAAATTTTTATTATATCCACCATCCATCCATCCATTGTGTATGCACATGTGAACCACAGTGCATATGTGGAGATCAGAGAACAACTTGCGGATGTTGGTTCTCCCCTGCTACCATGTGGGTCTGGATATTGAACTCAGGTTATCAGATTTGGTGGCAAGCACTGGGCCATCTTGTCAGTCCTCTAGGAAGGTATTTCAAAGCCAAGATTAACAATTACATTTGTGGCCCGGTGTGGTGGTTGTGGCCTGGTGTGGTGGCGTACACCTTTAATCTCAGCACTTGGAAGCAAATGTCTCAGGATTCGGAGGAGTCTAATCCAATCAGCTGAAGGCCTTAAAAGGACAAAGGGACCTGTGAGAAGAGGGAACTCTGCTAGTAGATGGCCTTCAGACTTGAATGGCTGACTATTCCCTGAGCTGTTGGCTTATCCTGCAGGTTTGGGGCTTGCCGGCTTCAACAATCATTGACCCCTTCCTTAACCCACCTCCTCTTTTTTGTTCTGTTCCCATTCGTTCTGCTTCACTGAAAAACCTTGATTAACAACTTAAAAATGAAGTAATTTGTTCAGTTATTATCATTGTCACAAGAATTCTCTGGAATAGATTTAAATCCTGATGTGGGAAAACAGAAACAGAATCTTAAGTATTTACGCCATCTCCATCCCCCAAATCCTGTCAAACTGGACACTCAGAAGTCATCTTTGACTTCTTCCTTTTCTCCCTACAAACAACCCTAAGTCCAGGTGACTCTGTCCAGGATCTACTTGAAACTTTCTACACTTTTCCACCTGTACTGTTAGCACCCTACTTCACGTGTGTGGATGAAGTTGAGAAGTCAAGCTTCTGGGTGGCTCCAAACTTGTCCTTTCATTCTTGTTCTCTTCAATCCATTTTATCACATAAAAGCCAGAGAACTCTTCTGAACTTGAATCATGTCTCCCCATTTTTTAGAAATCTTCAACCAGCGTGGAGGAAAACACAAAGTTCTTACTAGAGTCATGCTTGGCAGGAAGCCCAATGGGGTCTACCCCTTGCAAATCATCCCAGGTCACTCTTTCCTACCACGGACCTCCAGCTGGTGCTGAACTCCAGTCACTGCCACCTTCCGTATTCTTCACAGCACCCATGCTGTTCCTCGTCCCTAGAAAGCCCTCGTCCTGCTCTGCACCACTACCTTGTCCTCCACATTTGCTCTTTTTCCCCCCAGTGTTTTCTTTGTGTAAATGTGTACCTGTGTGTGTGTGGGCGGGGGGGCAGAGGTTGATGCTGAACATCTCTGTTAACTGCTCTATACCTTATTCTTTTAGATTTTCACTTTATTTTTAATTGTGTGTGTGTGTGTGTGTGTGTGTGTGTGTGTCTGTCTGTCTGTCTGTCTGTGCCTATAGAGGTCAGAAGAAGGTGTAGAATCTCCTGGAGCTGGAGTTACAGGTGGTTGTGAGCTGCCTGACATGGTGCTGGGAACTGAGCTCAGGGCCTCTTGACCCCTGAGCCGTCCCTCCTGCCCATATAAGGGCATTTTCATCTGTGCATTCCATGCTTGCTCTTCAGATTCCAGCTCCTTAGAAATGTGTCCCAGTTGTCCAGACCTTGCTGCAAGCTGGAATGAACTTCAGAGGTGGAGCACTTGTTTAGCACAGAGGTCCTGGGTTTGATCCCCACTGTTCACTTTCACAGTGCTCTTTCTCTCTTGGTTCTTACTTTGTATATTAGTATCATGTGTATGGTGTGTGTGGGTAAGCGGGTGCCACAGTGTACATAAGGAGGTCAGAGGACAACTTTTTCAAGTCAGTTTTTTCCTTCCACCTTTACATGAGTTCCCAGGATTGAAATGTTGCCAGCCTTGCCAGCAGGTGCTAAGCATTTTTCCCTGCTGAGCCATCTCACTGGCCCTCTCTTGGCTCTTTTACAACTTACTTATTTATAGTTTCTTGTTATACATTTACTCACTCATGTTTTCTCTACCACATAAGGGCAAAAAAACTATGTCTATGTTCACTGTTGTCTTTGTTAACAGTGCACCATGCTTGCCACAAATACTTGGAGAGAATGAGCTCAGGGCCCAGCACAGCGTTTTCCAAAGTGCACAGTGGCTTATGACTTTGCAGGAACTTCTAGGTCAGGAGTTAGCAAATTAGGGCCTATGGGCTAAAACCTGGCCTACAACTTGTGTTAAAAAATAAAGTTTTATTGGAACACAGCTATGACCACACATTTAAACATTGTCCATGGATGTTTTAGTTCAGTTTTACTTGAACAGCTGTAACATAGATCAATTGATAAAGCTAACTATTTGGCTCTTAACAAAAAATGTTTGCCAACCCCTGTTATGGGAAATTACAGAAAAACTAAACCAAACCAAAAAAAAAAAAAAAAAAAAACAACCAAACAAAAAAAAAAAAAAAAAATCTATGGATCTGATATATATTGGGTTAAATGAGACCACATAGATTTATTTAATGTTGGATATCTTTAAGTCTATTTTTTTTTCCTCCCAAATCAAGGTTGCACTATGTACTCCAAGGTAATCAAATCTGTAATCATCCTGCCTCAACTTTCTGAGTGCTGGGATTACATAGGTGCACCACTCGCTTGACATAAATTATTATTATTTTGGTTGTGTTTATTTTTATTTTACGAGTGTTTTGTCTGCATGTATGTAAAGAAACCCATGTGTGCAATGCCCACAGAGGCCTGAAGAGGGTATCAGATACTTTGGAACTGAAGTTGCAGATGGTTGTTAGCCTCCAAGTGGGTTCTGGGAACTGAACCCAGGTCCTCTGCAAGAGCAGCCAGTGCCATCTCTAGCCCTGACATATATTTTTAGGAGATTTAATTTTTTTTTCTTTATGTGTCTGCACATGTATGTGTGAGTACCCATAGACATCAGAAGAGGGTGGCAGGTTCTCTGGAGCTAGAGTTACAGGTGACTGTGAGTCACCTAATGTGGGTGCTTGGAATTGAACCTGGGTCCTCTGGAAGAGCAGCAAATGCTCTTGACTGCTGAGCCATCTCTGCAGCCCCAGCTGGACATCCTGATGTCATAAATGTGTTAACATGCACTGTGATTTTCTGAGTGCTGAGGATGGGACACCATGCTGCAACCACACATTCAGTCATTTATTTGTGCCTGAGAGTGGACATCCTCCCTGTCTACTCCAGCCTTCCATGCCCACCCAGTGTTGGCTCAACACCCGAGCCCTGAGCCTTCCTAGAGGGGAACCAGGATGGGGCAGGCAGTGACTTACTTTCTCCTGACTGTTCAGCTCCTGGTATGGGATGTGGGCAGGCAGGTAGGTGTGGAGCAGAGCACAGAAGGCCAGGCCATCACTCCAGCTACTGCTGAAATTGGTGATATCAATGTTCTGTGGAGAGAGAAAAACAGTATTAATGTACATGTGTACTGTTACAAAATACAGGGGAGAAGTATCTATCTTTGGACTTGGGTAAAGACATGTAAGAATGAACTATCCAACTTTTCTGGGAGTATATTAATTTTGGTAGCAGAAATGGCCTGTTGTGGCTCAAATCCATCACAGGATGGGGTGTGTTGTAGGGGGGAAATGAGACTTCAAATGCAGAACAGTAGGGAATTTCTGTTTGCTCCCCTGGGGGAGCCATTGAACACTGTCAGATATCTTGTTTCATAATAACCCTCCAGGAGAGCTTTTATATCCCAGCATTTCCCATACTATTGGCCAAGGATGAATGACCACAATCCTCATCCCCTTCACCACCATCTCTATCCCCTTCACCACCATCCCCATCCCCATCAGGCGCAACCCAGTCAACAAGTAGACCAAGACAAAACAAGAATAGTGCCATGAGCTGTTTGCGAGGCAGTTTCTGTTCTAGGCTCCATCTTGCAACAGGAACAGTTCCTCAGGCAGGAGAGAGAACCCCTCAGGCTCAACAGTCTCCCTGTTAGCACACAGGACTAGCAAGGTCCAAAGGCTCCTCCTTTAAGGCAGGTGACAAGGTGGGGATGGCTTGGTACACAGTGATAGAGGAAGCTTTATCTGATAGTTTGCTCCCCAAGACCCACATGGTGAAAGGAGAGAACTGACTCTTGCAAGTTCTCTTCTGACTTCCATACATGTGTCATGAAAACCCACCCCAGTCATGATCACTTTACAGGACTGAGGGTACTCAAGACAGACTGACAGATGAACAAAAGTAAGTCTTACAGACCTTCTCAAGAATTAACCTTGCTCCCTCCAAAGACAGAGATGGGAACTTTTTACCTCATTTATATAATTGTGTCATGTGTATTCACATATGTTTCCACATAATTGTTTGTATGTCATTCTATGTTGGGATAGCATGGATTGGAACTCAATCTGCCCCTAGAATTTCTCAAAATAATGGAGTAACAAATCAGTGGCCATTTAAATATTTTACTATGTTTTTCCTGTGTGCTGAAATTTTTTTTAATGACTTTATATACTTAACATTAAAGTGTGCAGGCATATGTATGCATGTGAGTGCTTGTAGATACGTTGTTAAAAGGTCTTATAAGTACATTCTATTAAAACCTATCAAAATATCCTTTGAGTCCATTAACTGTTTCACAAATTTTTTTTTTGTTTGTTTTTTGAGACAGGGTCTCCTTGTAGCCCCAGCTGATCTGGTATTCACTATGTAGCCCAAGCTGGCTCAATCTCACGGAGATTTGCCTGCCTCTGTCTCCTGAGCACTGGGATTAAAGGTATGTGCCACTACACCTGGCTCTCATAAAATTTTAAAATAATATTTAATAATATAAAACAACATTCATTGGGGTCATACGTTTCATTAGGCTATAAAATTTGACACTGGATACAGAGATTAATAATAATTTCTTTCTAAAACGGGTTCTTAAAATGTGGGGCTAGAGAGATGGCTCAGCAGTTAAGAGCACTGACTGCTCTTGCAGAGGACCTGGGTATGATTCCCAGAACCCACATGGTGGCTACGAATTGTCCTTAACTCCAGTTCCAGGGGAATCCAAACCCCTCTTCTGACCTCCGCAGCATTACATGACACGGGTGCGCTCACATACATGCAGGCGATACACTCAAACACATAAAATAAAAATAATAAATAAAATATTTTAAAAAAATTATTAAATTTGCTGAGTGTGATGGTGCATGTCTTTAATCCCAGCACTTGAGAGTTAGAGGCAGGCAGATCTCTGTGAGTTTGAGGCCAGTCTGGTCTATATAGCAAGTTCCAGACCAGCCAGGGCTACCCAGTGAGACCCTGTCTCAAAAAAAAAAAAAAAAAAAAGGTACAGATTTTGGATTAAGACTAGCGATTAAAACATGAGCTAACTAACAGTCGAACTTAAAACTGACAAGTTATACAAAATCTTCAATATTTTTAAAAAATCTAACTTTATATATGGCTACGTGTATATACACGTTATTTATACGTATTTATATGTTTTAATGTTTACCTGGTATCAAACTGGATTATAAGTAAATGGTTATATTAAGTGAAACTGCCAAGTTAGTTCAAATTCAAAACAAAACATAGATAAACAGTCTTAGTTTATTTGGTTGATTGTGTCTCAGCTGATTCTACAAACGGTCTAAAGAGGCTCTGGTTGCTTGGAAAAGTTCACTGGCTCTCAGTACAGGATGGCTTTTAATCCAGGGACAATTACCCTCATTTGGAGATGACCCTCTAGGCTCTACTATTCCTAGAATGGTAGAAGACTGCGACAATGATTAACCCTATGCTTTCAGTTTTCTTTAAGTTGTCTGTCTATCTATCTATCTATCTATCTATCTATCTATCTATCTATCTAATTATCTAATTATCTATCTATCTATCATATATCTATCTGGTCTTTTTGAGACAGGGTCTCTCTGTAGCCCCAGCTGGCCTGGAACTCACTACGCACACCAAGCTGGACTTGAACTTACAGAGCTACACACCTTTAATCCCAGCACTAAAAAGACAGAAAAAAAAAAAAAAAAATCTGTCCCTGGCTGGAGAGATGGTGCAGTGGTTAAGAGCACTGACTGCTTTTGCAGAGGACCTGGGTTCTATTCCCAGCACCCACAGAGGCTCACAACCATCAATAACTACAGTTACAGAGGATCTGATGCACTCTTCTGACCTCCACGGCTACCCCAGCAAGTGCACACGGGTATACTTACACACATGCAGGCAATATACTCATACACATAAAATAAAAATAAATTTAAAAATTAAAAAAAAAAATCTGTCCCTGTCAAGCTTTATCTATGTGGTCCTCAGCAGCTAAATTTTAAAACTGGATTTGTTCTTCAATATCTTCTGGGTGTTCACTAACATATCAGGAAGTCCTATACTAATATGGACAGGGGGAGTAATTTTGGTCCTTGCTTGCCAAGATCTCTAGGTCTCAAGGGACTATGGGTCATCTTTCAAAACAACCTCGTAGCTCTGGGAATCACTTGTTCTCTGGATCAGAGAGGCTGTGGAAACTTAGATATAGACTCTAGCCAGTATACATTCTGTTAAGAGGAGGTTTAACACAAACACAGAGGGACATGTTCCCTATGCCTCCAAAGGATGTGGCAGGGTCAGCAAGACCCTGACTGATCCCAGCAAGATGCCACAACTGTTTAAACAAAACTAATAAAATATCCAGAGGCTCCTCCCAAGTCCCAAGTGACCCCCGAGGACCAGACCCTCAGATGGCCTTAACAGTAAAAATAAATAAATTAAAAGGTTACTTTTTGAACACCTACTGGTCTTAAATATCAGCATCAAAGTATAGGGGAAAAAAGATCGGTTACTGTCACACCAGATGAGACAATCACAGCTGCCCCAGCAAAGAGAAGCTCTCTATAAACCTGTTTAGATAGGTTTATCTGAATATATCAACAGTGCTAACCTTACTCCACGCTCTGGTTTTCATTATTTTTCTTTGACACTCTTGTTACTCAGTGGTTACAACCTCACATTATTCACTATCAAATTCATTCTTAAAATTGTTCTTTTGTGCTGGGCATGGTGGCGCACGCACTAGGGAGGTAGAGGCAGGCAGATCTCTGTGAGTTTGAGGCCAGCCTGGTCTCCAGGGTGAATCCAGGACAGCTGGGGCTAGAGGAAGACCCTGTCTCAAAAAAGACCAAAAAAAGCTGGGCGTGGTGGTGCACGCCTTTAATCCCAGCACTCAGGAGGCAGAGGCAGGCAGAGCTCTATGAGTTCAAGGCCAGCCTGGTCGACATAGTGAGTTCCAGGACAGCTGGGGCTACAGGCAGACCCTGTCTCAAAAAGACTGAAAAAAAAAAAAAGAGACCAAAAAATATTGTTCCTTTGTTTCCTAGCACATTCTTAATATATAACAATCAGATTTAAAAAAAACAAATAAAAAAAAGAACAACAAACCAAGGGCTCTCAACCCTAAACATGGCCATGGCTTCCCTGGACCTTGCCCTGTCTGAGACCATCAATTGGCAGAATCATGTTAGTCTTATTTAAGCCTTGTATTTTAACCTTGTAAAATGTGTGTCTTCTAGGATAGACAATGATTTCATACGTAACTCTCTATGACAGAGGGAGTCCAGTCAATCCCCCATTACTGGGAATCCAAAGCCTCTCTCCAATTAGCAGATAATATAGGGAAAGAATCTTGTGGTCCCTTTTAGTCAGGGACGTTATTCCTCATCAGCATGGAAGTTGCTATTAACCATCTGACTGATTAACCATCATTCTTCTGCTCTTCAAAAAGACTTTGTGGACCACAGCTTTGGGGGTGGGGATGGAACTATGGCAGGAAAATGGGGACTAAACTGAAACATCAAAGATTAAAAGATATGAGCCAGGTCTGTGGTGCACATCTTTGATCCCAGGCAGAGGCAGGTGGACCTCTATGAGTTCAAGTCCAACCTGGTCTACAGAGTGAGTTCCAGGTCAGCTGGGGCTACTCTAAAAAAAAAAAAAAAAAAAAGGTTAGAGATGAAAGAAGCCAGTTAGTTCATAGAGTTAGGCTGGAAACCCTTCCTGACCCAGGCTTCATCTAACAAAGTGTGTGTGTGGGGGTGTGTGTGTGTGTGTGTACTTATACCATCTGGATGCTTATTGGACTTCTCCTTCAGCTTAGGAGTGCTTTCCTTTCTTAATAAGCGTCTCTATTTTTATTTTTAAACAGGTGTCCCTGGTGCAATCATTTGCCCTGGAACACAAAAGCTTGGGATTGGGTGCCCTCTGAACTCAGATCAGTGGCTCAGTACTCTTAAGCTTGTTGTCCCTGACACTCTGGGCTTTTTAATGTTTCCTCTGACCTCCATGGATAACTTAAAAGGCATGAGTATCTCCCCTTCTCCTGGTGGCTTCTGGGATTTTCAGTTTGCCTCTACTTTTACTTTAAATTTTATTAAAATTGTTC